TACGGCTGATCAATGCCGCCATTCGTAATACGCAGATAACAACGGTATCGAAGCATTCCATGGAATCGATTGTGGCGGCTATTTAAAATAATTCTCGCTCCTATGATACATTCACGCGCGGCAAGTTCGAATTTCGATCCTCCGCCTTCTCCGCGACGACGTAACCGCGAACAATGAAATTACACCTTCACGGCTCGCGAATCACGGTTAACCGTCATTTCTGACACACGCACGTACATACACGCGAGCACGTATGCAAAAGTGAGAACAGCCGAATTGAATTTCCTTGAATTTCGCGCCATTCACGTTCGCTATTATTTTATCGGGATACACAGGGGGTAAACTTGCGACTCACGAGCGCGCAGCGACACACGCACGTTCGGATAGCTTCCTTCTGTTTCGCTAATTCTACTGCATGTCGCCAATTATCATATTTATAAAACGCCCCTGTTCCATATTCAACCGTGGAAATTGCCAGCAAACTCGGAGCGTGATTAATTTTTAACCCAGATTCTCTTTTCGCCGTCGAAAACGAGACAGCCGCGCGTTTTATTTAATTGCGCGGCATCGCGAAACGTCGAATCCAAAACGAGCGGAATTCGAACTCGCTGCTTGCGCGAGTGTTGCGAAAAATTAGGAAGCGAAAAGCAGAGATAAATAAACGAACAAAAAAGGGACAGGAAGAAGAGACCGGGGATAAGTACGTAAGAGTAACGAGAAACGCTTTCGTGGAACTTTAAATACGCAAACGTTCGCGCGACAAGAGTTCCCGCGCTGGGTTTTATCGAGTTTTTCAAGGAAAAAAGTTAAAGACGGTTTCCATTTCTCGACGAGCCTTTGAAGGTTTAAATTCTTCCTCATCTGTTTATCGTAATTTAAAGCGAACTTAACGAGATCGGTGGAAGGGGAGGTTTTTTCAGGAGACACAAGACGCCGTTTCGCGACTTGATTTCGTTACGGGGAAATAACGTTCGCCGTTCCAGCGGCGATTCGCCGTGAAATTCCCCCTATGTAAAAGCAACGGCATCCTTCTTCCGGACGAGAAATCTCGTCAACGTTAATTTCCATTCCGGCATGTTGTATGCAATTTGCAGCGCGACGCCCGATCCCCCGTACTATTTAAATTGGTTTGTCCGCAGTATGTCGGCCAACGTGGATTAATCTCGAGATTAATTCGCGAAAATGCACTTAAGCGACGGTGATACGATCGGCGTCATCGCTTGTAATAGAATGCCGCATTTTATGCTTCGTTTGCGTACCTGTTACGCATACTTGATTCGCGAAACGTTACATCCTGCCTGTCAAATTGTCTGTTATATTTTCGCGATATTTTTAAGCGAGAACACCGTTCGATTTTTAAGCTTCCACGTGGCCTCGCGTATCGTAATAATTTAATTAATTAAAGCACCGAGTATGCGAGCTTGTAAATTAGGGTACTATATCAATAGAAAAAACACTGTAGTATTTATAAATTAAATAGGAGCTGATTTACCTCTTCGTTAGGACTTGAATAGATGGCCTATCTAATGAAGATTATTCTATCAAAATCTCTTTCTCCAAACCTTCCCTGGAATTTAATAATAATAATAATAACGGACAGAAGTCTTTTGGTATACAATAAAAATTGTAAAATGAAATATACAATAATAACGTAGTAGTATGGTAGTACAGAAAGCAATGGAATAAGAAATAATTAAAGAAAAGGAGAATAAACAAAGAAAAGGAAAACTTAATAAATAAATGGTTGAGGTCTAGTTGAGTCTTGAAACAGATACTTTAAAAGAGCATAACGATACATTAAAGAAGACAATGTTTTCACAGTGTACATTTGCTGTTGAACATGGTATGGAATAATGTAAAATAGATTTCTTGCTCTCAGGTGTTTCGCAGATACATATAGTTTAAAGAGCTCCAAAATTGCCATAAGATTATTAATAATTTTAAATACTAGAATAAGATCCGCTGATGTTCTTCTTCTTTCTAAGGTACGCAACCCTATTCGTTCGAGAATGTAGTCGTAATTATGACATGTCATAGGTAATGGTATATTGATTTTATATGACACGTATCTTAGGGATGTGTGTTGCACTCCCTCTAATAATTTAATTATTATTTATCGTAAACCAAAATTTAGCTCTTTCACACTCGCAACACGTATGCGACACACGTATCTTCATACTATAGAGTGATCCTGACTGAAAATATTGTTCCAAGTTAATGGATACGAGTCGAAGAATAACATCACTGATCAGCCAGTAGTACAACAACGCCACCGGTCAGACACCGCAGACGAGAGTAGCGTATTATCGAAAGTAAACGATGGTTATCGATAAACGTACCGAACGTCGATCATGCGACCGAGTTTACGCTATATATTCTCCATCGTGGAGACGTCGCGTGCACAAGCAGAGCGTCGACGACCATTTTTACCATCCCTAACGCAAACGAAGCCGACTAGGGGCGGTATGCAAATCTCGAAGGCGGAAGCCAGTCACGCGGCTGTCGGATGCACAACTCTGCAGAGCGCGGTATGGCCGGGTTTACCGAAATGTTGTGTTTAGACAACGCTTAAGTCTGCTGTGCATGTCGTCTGCGACTTTTTCTCATTTTTCCTACGTCTCCTTCCTGATTTAAGCCACCTCTATTCGGAGTTACCTCTGCGTCGTCTGACCCAGAATTTCAAAAACTGACATCCATACGATTGCAACGGCAAACAAGTCGCAGACCATCCTGAAAATCCCTTAGGGTAATAAATCCTCTAGGATTACGCTAGACGAAATTTTGGAATAAATGTTGGAATTGGCTGATTGCGAGATTCGATATCCAAATTGTACACGTAGAATCAACTGGCGACGATTGTCCAGCGGTTTCGTCGACAAGGAATTATCGTGACGACCTTTCGCGCGGAGAAATACGATTTCGGTGGATGAGCGAAATTAATGCGACGGTGGCTGCTTGAATTTTAGAGGCCATCGCAAATCAAGCCGGCCGCAAATCACGGGGAAGGCAGGCGGCGCGAAAAGAATGCCATAATGTCCCAGAAAATGCGAGGCTCGTGCAACGATGCATCGCGTTGCATTGTGATTTAATGGAACGTTGCACGACAACGTTGCGTCGAGCTGATGCGAGGGTTTCGGTATGAACGCGTTGCATTCTCTGCCTTGTCCGTGGAAGGCACGTCAACAACGTCTTTTGGGATGCCTCGGGCGTTGTTTCCTTATTAATCTCTTGTCTCGGGCTACGTACACTCGATGGATGAAAGAAATTCTTTTATTATCAATCGCACGACTCAATTTCTTCCTAGTCGTTTACCTTATAAATAAGGAGAAAAACGGGTAGAGGATCGTTGATAAGTAGCGAGCAAGAAACTGTAAGCTGAATATTTTAAATTCATAGTACGCCAGATTCGTTCAGGTTTCACGCGAATATTATAATTAATTCTCCCTCCATCTCTCTCTCTCTCTCTCTTTCTGGGAGGATCTCATTAATATTTAATTCGACTTCCACTCCACCCGATCGGAGTCTATAAAGTGTTCATTAATATTCAATACGTAATCGTGACTCCACGTTTCCGTTCGAGAAAGGACACGGTGCTTTCGAAATGGCGACTTCGTGTTCACCATTTTTCCGAATTTCTCGTATTTCCAGGCGAATTTCGCTTCCGCGTCAGTCGAGCGACACAGGTGGCATTGGATAAAGGTGGACGTATTTTAAAACGATTCTTTGTACCGAAAGCATTTTTACGAGCATCGATACGGGATATATTCCTGGGCGGGATGGAAATTTTGATTAATACTTCACCGGCAAACAACTTAACCGATCAATCATCGTTCGAGTTCTATTTAATTCTGCCGGTATCGCGATTCGATTGTCACGATGATCGCGGCGGTAAATTGATGATGGCCGAACAGCCCCCGGCCACGGATCATTTGATAAGGCGCGGTTGCCCCGAAAATCTGTCTCATCGATTTGCAGCCAGGAAGTCGAACTTTCCCGTGAAAGGTAAGGACGTTAATAGAAGAGACGTTTCCGGAATCAGTGACTCGCGAACGCTCGGCAACTTGGGCGAAACTTCGTTCCCCGTTCTCCGTGCCCCTTTTCACCGGCTATCGCTCATCGATCAGTTTCGTGCCGTTTTTCTCTAATCAACCGATCGTCGATCGAACGTGTAACGAGAAACGCGAGTTTAAATGTTTCACGATTTAGACGAGAGAAAAAAAATGTTGAAACGATAAAAGCTACAGATAAATCCGAAGATAGCTGAACAGATAAGTGCTTAAAAATGGCAGCCATATTTCCCCCGGAATAATTTTCTCTGTCCGGCGTGCGATAATACGAAACGAACGTAACGATTCCATTTCGATATTCAATTTATCCCCGCGTCCACTTTTCCCTCGTAGATACGCCGGAAAGTTACAACGAAAGGGGGCCAAAACGAATTCCAGCAGCGCACAAAGGATTCCACCGTGGACGTGCGTGAAACGAGCGATGCCCATCGGTGGTTAAACGATGCCAGAGATACGCGAGTTTGCTTGCGTACCCGTGTATCGCAAGAACGACACGCGTGACGGAGAGAAAGAATGGGACGAGCACTTTACGAGGCCGAATACGAACGTTTGCTGATCGCAGTCGTCGCGCGAACACCGAAAGCTGATAACCGGACGCGCGTCGCCGGATATACCGGCTCTTATCCACCATTTCCAATCTCCAGAATTCCCCCAATTCTCGTCATCCCTCGCCTCCAGGTTCGGATTCTCGTTTTCGTAATTCCTCGCCGGCCATTTTTAGCGTGCGAAATTTCGCGTTGCAGAAATTATTCGGCGCGCAGCTTGTCCCAGAATTATTCTGTTTATTCGAACCCGTAATTTCGCATTTGCACGCTTTCGTTACGTTATTAATTCACGCGCCGTTGTTAAAAACACGAAATCCGCGAGTTACTCGGAGCCAGCGCATTTTCCCGGGATTAATCGCCGCGGTGGGGTGAGCGACGAGTCATCCGCATGGATAAATCGTCGAGACGCGAAAGAGACGCCGATGGAGTGGCCAAGGGTTGGGCCATGTCCAAGCCGCACAGGGTGTCCAACGCTCGCTTCGTTCGAACGTTGCTCAAGTACTCCAAGTTGTACTGCAGGTACACCAAGTTGGCCGGGTTCAGGTACTTCGTGGAACCGGAAGCGACGTGGTTCGACAGGTAATTCGGTCGCTGGTGCACGCATGAACGAGTTCCCACGTGAAAACGCGACGAATTCTAAATAAACCTCGTCGCTGATGAAACAATTCCGACGCCCATATAACTGTCGCGTCGCGTCGTGTCGCGTCGTGTCGTGTCGCGTCGCGTCGCGGCGTTTGCCGGAAGCCTATTCCCGGTGTAAATATTTAGAATTTACGATGGGGGATGCGCAGCGTGGAACGCGTTAACTGAAATTCAATCGAGTTTCCCACGGGACGATATTTCCAGGACGCTATGGTTCCTGGTGTACGCGGTCACGGTGCCAGCGATGGTGTACACGATTTATTACGGCTATCTGGAATTCATGGAGAATCCCATATTCACGAGCGTGGAAACGGAATACTTCCCCACGTACCAATTAGATTTCCCAGGTAAATCGAAAGCGCCTTGTGCAGCCAGCTGCAGTTATCGCGGAAAGAGTCGGGCTGCCGACTAATTTCTTGCGGGCTATGCCAGACGGCCCGGAATCGAAGGATCGTTCCATTTGTTCCCTCGAGACGGGCAATCGAGGTAAAATGCCGGTTCAAATTGGAAGCATCCAGCTTTATCGCGACTCCAATCGCATTTTACCTCTGTCTGCTATAAATTCTCAAATTTTCCCTTCCAATTTCCCCTCCGAGCTTCTGATAAACAGTGTTCGAAATCGCGACACGCGGAAGCGCGAGATTCGACACCGGGTTATTCGATTCTGAGAATTCCATTGTTTTTCCAGGCATCGCCATTTGCAGCATCAACCGAATAAGTCGACGGGCCGCAGTGGAATTGGCGAACGAAGTGTGAGCAGTGTTCTGCATTAAATAAACAAAATGGTACTCGCGAAGAGTGAACTGCTGCAAGTAGTGCAATACAGCGCAGAACGGTTAGGTTCGTCGAGTACAGAATCGCAATGGCGCAGGATAATTTCGGTTGTGGCCGAGTCTGCGGCCTCCAGTTTAGAATTGCCCTTCGTTCATAAACGAATTCCAGCGCTGTTTTCCCGCGTTCTCGAAAATTCTACGTAAAATTCACAGAGGAGTTTCCATCGGTGGTCGGAGGAATCTTACGAGAAGATCGCGTTGAAATTTTCCAAACGAATTTGGAATATCGTGGAAGAAAGCATGAACGAAAGTGATCACCGGAAATTCGCGAATCGACGGTGGAAAAATGGATGAAACAACGACGGACGTTGATAAATTTCCGCAACGGGGGTGCATTATTCGAGGCTTTCGGATCGTCGCGTTAATACCCCGCCGGTTTATTTAGAAAAGTTCGTAGCGCGGATGAAAGGAGCGATCGTTAAAAGGAAACGTAAAAACGCGCCCTTAATTAGCTTCGAATTTGCAAAAACCGGCCATTAATATTCAGTTAGCGAGAGTTACTTTGAGCTCGCGTTGAAAAAAATTCCCATTAATATGCAACGTTTAGCGTCCCTTCTGGGGTAGCGGGAAAAAGGGACGGAGAGGGGGTGGAAGAGAGAGAGAGAGGGTAGCAGGATGTCTATTAATATTGAAATCGCGACCAACGTTGTTTCACTTAATCGCGATTTATAAAAACCGGGACAAATATTTGACCTGATACCTGTAATTTCACTCCGATGTGAATTCGCCACTAATTTCCATGAATACTTTCCTCGCTCGACCGCTAGCGACTCTAGCCCCATTAATTCCCATGGGATAGAATTTTTAATTTAATTTTCGACCGGGACGTTTCGTGGAACATCGATCGCTGTGCTCTTTCGCCGAATACGTTTTATCGCGTTTCAACGTTTACTCGATCCCCTGGTAAAACCTATAAAACTCCATATTTTCCAAACTCTAATTTCATCCGGATTAATTAATATCCAGCTTCGCGGCGAATATCACCGACCTATCCATCGACGACATCCTCAGCATGATCTCGCAACTGGGCGATCTTTACGACTCCGAGTTCATTCAGCAGAAACGCTTCCATCGGATCGACCAGCTCCTGACAGTGTATTACAATGGCTACTACAGCATCACCGACCTGATGAAACGAGTGAGCTAAATTGCCATTCGACCAGTTCGAACGTTTAGCCGCGTTACAAACGCCAACTCCCATCCTTGACGAAAATCTCTGTCCAATATTGATCCCTGGCCGCGTACAAACGTTTCAGCTGACTCCGCGATGTTCCTCCATGCTGTTGAAGTGTCGGTTTCACAACGAGAAGAGGAACTGTTCCGATATATTCGCCTTCCGTAAGACGCAGGACGGCTTCTGTTGCACCTTCAATTACGCTACCAAAGGAGACGACACGCTCTTGTGAGTTTCCATACCACTCCATCCTCTCCGCGTCGCGTCCATGCGTCGTTCATTCGTCATTCCACGTTTCCATTTATTTTTCACTAGCCACAGCTACGCTTGTCCAAACCGCGTGTAAACTTCCGCTCGTTTCGTGTTCCGTGCCCCACAGTTCTCAACCCCACAGCCCAACCTCCCGAAAATCATTTCGCGAATCACAACCGCGAACAACAACCGCTACACGCGAGCCGCCATCTTTTTCTACCCTAACCATCGCGCACGCTGAATTTCCGTTCCGCTATCTCCGCAGGGACAACGGGGTCAATCACCGGCTGGATTCGATGAAGGTGAATAATCTGACCGAGGACGGTGGACTGTCGGTACTGCTGGAACCGTTTCTGGACGATTACTTCTACCCTATTTTCCCCAGCCCGGGTTGGAAGGTAATTTTTCATTCTCCGAGCTCAAGCTGCCTTCTGCACGGGAATGCTTTTCTTTCGGAATTTTTAATTCCACCGATGCGGCTCTAGCGTTCGGTATGCGACTCGTATCCTGGTGAATATTCTACGAAACAAACCGCAAAGCTTTCGAGTGTCACGGACACTCGAGCACCGGAGGATCGGTACCGTGTTAGGTAGTCTCGCGGGTGTTTAGTGGATCGTTAGAGTCGCGTGTCATCAAACGAAACGACACGAGCGATGGTTAATCACTCGTTTATCGACCTTCCGCGTCAGATAGCGCGATGACGTCTCGCGAAATTATATCGCGCCTGGGTCGGCGGTTTTCGACTGGTCGAAACAGACGGCAGTCGACAGACCCCGTCAGTCCCGGAATAATTCCAGCGAAATCCCGTGTTCCGACCAGAGATCGGGGTAAAACGAGTCGGTCGTAATCACGCCGTGCGAAATGTGGGTCGTGGTCGGTCGTGACGATTATCTCGCGTGGCAGCCGAGACTCGGTGCATTATGCAAATTGCAGTTTTTCTCGCGAGCTACGATTCGCTTGCGCCGTAAATACACCGTGTGAATATTTGACGCGTCGTTGACCGATCGGACGCGGCAAACTCGTTGTTAGCCGTAAATATTGAAAGCTACCTGAGCGACAAAGGTTTCGAGAGTAGATTTCTTTCTAAACTTCGAAAAGTTCTATTTTTTCAGAGGTTCAGCGAGTCTGTGTGTCTTCAGGTGACGATCTTCAATCCGTACGACTACCCGGACATGGCCAGTGGGGGTGTGATCGACTTTCTAGTCTCGCCAAGGGAGCACCGGAGGGTAGAAATCGAGGCGATCATGTTCAACAGTACAAAGAGTATTACGGCGTATCCTCTGGAGAAACGAGGATGCGTGTTCGAGGATGAAATGACCTCTCTTCGTATGTTTTACACTTACAGCGACTGCATCGTCGACTGCAAGACTGCGGATATATGGAAGTCCTGTGGTTGCGTACCTTTCTTCCTGCCTAATCGAAGTAAGTACCGTCCTTCAGGTCAAATAGGGCTGGAAGGGATGAAAGGAAAACGATGGGACCGTGTTTTGTCCTAGGGCCTGCTAGTGGACCTATGGGGGGACCTTTCCCTCACGGTAGCTGTAGTCAGTTGTTGTTGCTCAAGTATTCTCAGTGTTGCGGTAGCGATAGAAGGGGTGAAAGGGAAAGGAAGGGATGCGTTTTGTTCTGGGACCTGCTAATCAACTCATCGGTAAGGCTACCTAGCATACCCTTGTATATAGAAAAGTCTGTAATTTGTATATATGAGAATCGAAGGATTCAAGGCACTTGCGAGAAATTCTGTCCTCTTAGATTCCCTCTGGTGGTGGGTGTATGAACGATAGTCGTCACGCAAATAAAATAAAATTTTTTCAAAGAAAAATATATTCCACGTCTGAAAGAGTTGAAAATATATATCCAGATCGTCTTCAAGTCTCTTTACCCTTATTCCACACTCGCAGAGTTTGAAAATAACCGAGAGACAAGAAGAGTGATCAAACCTAAAAGCCTCTTCGCGCTTCGCTATTCTTCCCGCAAGTATCCCTCGAACTCGAGCATTCCACGATTCTAATCCCCTTGATCGTGCAAGACGAGAGACACGAATACGAGAGCGTACTACCCTGGCGGCTGCATTATTCCAGCGCCTGATGTTTTAAAAGCCGAGACAGCGACAAGGTCGGCACCGCGAGGCGAAGGAAACGCTCAAAGAGCCCTCCAACCCCTATTTTCACTTTCACGCCGGCGTCGAAATGAACCGCGGCGGCGGCGTCGTCGGCGTAGGCGTAGACTGGCTGAAGCCTTTGTCAGACATTAACAGCTCCCTGTCCCTTCTTCTCCTAACGATCCCGCGAGATTAGAAGCTACGAGACCCAGCCCATCTGCTAAGGGAGCGCGGTGCAACGCTCGTGCTCGCGAGCTTCCCTTCGCCAGCGTTGAAGGAGATCGCATCGAGCATGGAATTAAGGTACTTCTTACCCAATTAACTTAGTCCAACAAAAATTTCATAACAAACGACGGGTATAAAAGTGAAAGCGTATAAATCATTGCAATTATATGGTTATTTTAAAAATTAAACGATTATGTACGAATAACTTCGATGTGAAAATAAGATATTCGATGGAGTCGCAGGAACGCATACGTTGATGTGGAAAAGAAAAGCTTAGGTATTTGTAAAGACATCGGGGGTTCTGATTTAATGGGGGCCTGGTTTATGTCTTTGCGACCCCCATGATTCGCAGACACGCGGACCACCTCCAATGCTTGGACTAGTCCCTGTAAAAGACAGTTCGTTTGCGACTAGATCATGGCACAGAGCTTTTCCAAGATTATATCACGAGACAGAGCTTTTACAAGACTAGAGATCACGGGACAGAGCTTCTCCAAGACTAGAAATTACGGGACAGAGCTTTTCCAAGATTAGGGACTACGGGACAGCGCTTTTCCAAGACTAGACTACGGGACAGAACTTTTCCAAGACTAGAGATCACGGGACAGAGCTTTTCCAAGATTAGGGACTACGGGATAGAGCGTTTCCAAGACTAGAGGTCACGTAACAGAGCTTTTCCAAGACTAGAGGTCACGGAACAGAGCTTTTCCAAGACTAGAGGTCACGTAACAGAGCTTTTCCAAGACTAGAGGTCACGGAACAGAGCTTTCCCAAGTCTAGAGATCATGGGACAAAACATTTCCAAGACTGGAGATCACAGGACAGAGCTCTTTCAAGACTGGAGATCACAGGACAGAGCTTTTTCAAGACTAGAGATCACGAAATAGAGCTCTTCCAAGACTAGAGATCACGGGGGCAGAGCTTTCCCGAGACTAAAGATCACGGGACAGAGCTTTTGCGAGACGAGACACTTCCGTACCAGGTTCCCCTCCCGTAAATAAAGCTCTTCCATTAACCCGAAAGGTGCCTTGATTTCTCAAATACCCACGACATCCCTTCAGAGTGATGCAATTAATTGAAACGATAGAATTGAGAATATCGCCAGTGAGTGAAGGCATATGGAATACTATATTTAATAATTTCTAAATAGATTTCAATTTTTACAGAAATTAACTTTGCCCGAAATCCATAGAAATTCCTAAAGTTCGATAGGAGTTTCTTCGAACGAGGGAAAAGAGGCTAAACCGTTCGTTAAAATATCCAGTGTCGGTTTCTTATTAGATTAATCCATTTGGAAGCAAATAGAGGGGGATGAAAGGTACTTCGAACGCTTCCCGCTTCGTTGCTTCAATTTACTTTCGATTAAAGTCTACGCTTCATTTGTTCTCTGTCTCATTAATGAGGTGTCCTCGGGATGATTCGAAGTTGCCAAGGTTTCACGGGCCACAGGGCGGATATCCAAAGTTCTGGTACCTTTAATATCGCCTCATTCTGGCTCTCGAGCTTATCTTTACCGTAAGCTGTTTCATTAACTCGCGTGCTACTTTATTAACGAAATTCCTTGAATAATTCACGCAGAAACGTTGAACAGAGCGGGTCCGCTAACCGCGGATTATTTTTAATATCGTCTGCTCCACGCCTGAAACGTATCTTCCTTCGATGCCGCTTCATTAAGCGGCCTCGCGTACGGCTTTATTAATCTTCGTCGATCCGTCGCCATTCTCGTGACTCGCAATCGTGTTTCTTGAATAATTCAGCGATAGATGGCGGTTTTATGATTTAGAATATTCAACGACCTTTGTTCTAATATTTCACACTCCTCGCTATTGTGTTCCAAAGGGCCAAAAGGTCCTACGAGGGCGTAATATATCTCGGCCCGGTCGTATTTAATTAAAGCTATCGGTTATCGTTGCGCTGAATTAAAGATATTCTCGGACTATTTCACCGTTTATTTATTCCTTTCCAGAGTCCAGAAGAGTCTGCAACCTGGAAGACGTGCCGTGCTTGACGCTGCATAAACGTAAGCGCTATCGAAATTCTCCAGGTGTAAATCACGAAACAGCGTTGAATTGTTCAACCGAATTACCATTGTACCACGCTCTCTACGCGGAGCTGATTAATTAATGGACCCCCACGATCAATTGCAACGCCGCGAGAGTCATAATTTTTGTATATTCCCGTGGTTACGCTGGCTCGTAATAGCATAAATTCCAGCATAAAAACAGAAATAAATTTCCATTTCCCCGGTACTGACCGGTTTTTAAATCGCAGCTACGTGGTTCTCCGTCGTGCCACACGAAAATCTGTACAACAACGAGGACATGGACAAGACGGACATCCTGCATTGCCATAACTGCTACCCAGAGTGCAGCGACGTGAAGTATACCGCGAAGATGTCCATGTTCAACTTGCAGTCTAATACACACGTGATTAAATTAATGTGAGTAAACGTCCACTATATATCATCACGATTTCGTATCACGCGATTCGAGTCTAACGTGCTTTGTGGAATTAGACCTGACAACATGGAAATAAAGGACGAGTCCACCCTGACGGTATACTTCAACAACTTTGGCACGATAAAATTGAGACAAGACGTGATTTATCGATGGTACGAACTGCTGGGTAAGTGCAACGGAATATTTCACCCTTCGATTCGAGGGTGACAAAATCCGTGGAAATCCACAGGGAGAGAAAACATCCCTGTCACTCCTGTGAGTAACATTTCCTTACTTTTCCGCGTTGTATCTCCTCCATCTTTTATTATCCCAGGTATCAGTCAAGCACGAAGGTGCACAGCCCATTTCGAACACGCCGAAGCACAAACGGAGCCAGAGTCTCGCCCTCTCTTTTCGATTTTCATTAAAATTTTTAGCTCGGGGTGACCAAGCTCGATAAACGCCCGGAATAGACGGTAAATAACGGGGAAAAGAGATTCCGATATCCCGGCTGGAAACTACCTAGTCGAAGTTCGAGAAGCGAGAAAGCAAAGATCATAAAATACAGACGGGTTTCATTGTGTAACGAAGAATTCGCAGCGCGAAGTTTCCACGCGGACGTAATCTGTTGGCCGGCGACTGGAGGAGGAAATAAAAGCACGGGGAAAAGCTCCGGCTACGGGTTGATCCATTGTGCTATGTACACACGCTCGTGGTACCGGTTACAAGTAATGTAATGCACTCGGGATAAAGGACATACATTTTTCGTTAGGAAAATCCACTTCCTTTCTTCCCTTTCGCGGAGGAATGAGGGAACGCCCTTGCCACCCCCCGACACCTGACGACGTAATATCGCGTAGTCGTAACATGGAAACATAAATCTCCCCTATGCGGTGGTTAATAATCCTTGAAGCATAAAAGTTCGATGCGAATTCCCTGTCAAATTACTATCCATAACGCACTCTTCATCGCAGCTAACAAGGAGAGTACAAGTCCTTCGCGTCATAGACTTACTTGAAACTTTGCAGGTTTATAGAGTTAGTCATCCAGGTCAAGAAAATATATCATTATAAGGACAACTACTAGATGGTTTTCGAGATATTTACGATTAGAGTTTTATAATTGCCTGAATTACAGATTTATTTCGAATATTTATTAAGTGCCATTGTGGCCTAATAGCGATGTTGCTGTTAGGTCACAATGCCACTTGACAGTTATCGATAACTATTCGGAAGGAAAAGAATAATAAAGATTTAATTATAAATATCTTAAAAATTATCGAGCAGTTGCCCTTAAGCTGGATAACTAAATCTACAAACTTGCAAAGTTTCAACTAAATAAATGACCCCAGCAATGGATGAGATCGTTTTCTGAATTTTTCAAAATTTTAGAACTACATCACTTGACCGTTTGATGCTTAATTATCTATGTTTCGAATAAATATCTAATTTTCGTTTCTTAATATTCAAAATGTAAGTGGTTTATTTCAATCAATTAGAGCAAGTTATCAGCGATGAACAGCGTCTATACAGGGGGATGAAGACTTTCGTCGCATACTCGAGGTGTTTGGTTGACGATCGAGCAAAGGTTCTTTGGAACCTCTGTCTTTTCCATTTTCCGATGAATATTCCTCACCACCCTGTTCTCTCCGCGTCTTTAATGTATTCTAATTCGGTTCTCGTGGGCGAGAGAGCAACTTCATCGTTCGATCGACGTTTTCCAGGTGACGCCAGCGGTATTTGCGGCATCTTCGTCGGTTTTAGCCTGATCGCGGTCGTTGAGTTCGCTTATTTCGTCGGGCTGTTCGTGTTCGAGCTTTTAAAGAGACCAGACCCGTCTGGCGGGAATGAAAAACGGGCCGAGGGCAAACAACCGCCGATACAGACAATTTATTGGGGCGAGTTGTATTCGTACGCGAGAGCGACAAAGAATCAACGTGATCGAGCTCGTGGTAAATATTAGCACGTTTCGCCATTTTCCCTGCACAACGTTCGTTCGTGTAATATCGTGTCA